CTCTTCACCGTCGGGATCTTCTTTACAAACTCTCTTGGGTAATTCCAAGCTTTGGTTTTTTTGAACTTTATCCAACAATTACAAATCTACTGGGGGATATAAATTTCCTCATAATCGAAATTCATTTTTTGATTGTTTTTTTTTTGTTTATGGGTATTGGCCTTGATTTTATCAGGCAAATTGCTTTTTTTATGTCCCTAATTTTCAGCATTTTTCATTTTATGAGCATTGGCCTTGCTTTTACTAGGCATATTACTTTTTCACGCCCCTTGATTTTCAACAATTTTTATTTTAGCATTTATTTTTATTTTACTTGACTCATTGATTGACCTAGGTAAGTTTAATCGATGTAGTGTTATTTGACTCCTTAGGTCTTTGTCTTTAGTCAGTGCTCTAGATTATGCCGCTTGAATTGGGGATGACTTTTGCCTGGCCTTGGTTTGGGAGATGATCACCAACTAGGTTTGTACGAAACGAAACTATAAGCTTAATTGGGTTAGCAAGGGATATAAGTGTGTGGGATAGAAGAAGAACTGCTATTCATCATCCTGTGGCACTTAAATCATTGTGAGAGTTCACCTATAATAATAACACTTGAAGATTGACGCAAGTGAAAGCAAGAAAACTTCTATCCATTTTTCTTACCTCGTGTTGTCGACTTACCTCGTGTTGCCTCATGTGAGGTGGTTCTTGACAGAGGTAATTTGAAAGGAACCTCCAAGTATATATTCTCAAAATGGTTAAGCAAAGGATCACCGGTAGTATATAGGATAGAGAAATGAACTGCCTCTCGTCACTTTGGCTACCGTACCTTATGCGAGAAATCTCTTTACCTTGCAAACATGGAATCTTTTCACTCATCTCGCCGGGGATCAGTACATGGGGATGTGTATGGACTAAGGATTGCCTTTCGTCATCCCGACACATCTCATTTAGCATACTCGAGTAGTTTGACACCATTTGTCGAATTGTCATCTTGATAAATTTTCACATGGAATTGAAGAATTAAACAGGTAAAATTATTGTGCAAAATTCTTTTCCAAAAGACATGCGATGCATTTGAGGGGAGGATTAAGCATATATTCGTTTTAAATTGCTTCCTCTTTCTTTGATTCTTCGTACTCTTATGAAAAGAGTTTAAAGGGAATAGAGATACTTACCTGTGCTGCAGTGGCGAGGCAAACCTGCAAGGTAATAAGATAGACCATGTTAATGAACGGCTCTTTGAGGGACAATACAACATTACCCTTCATGTCTCCCTTCATTTGAGTTTAAGCTATTGACTCCTTGAGCTTTTCTCGAATGTTGACAATTCCTGTTGAGAATAGCATGAGCTTATGTTAGCAATGAAAAGATCGAGGGTAAATTGAGGACGATACCAAATTACCCTTAATCCATTTTGCCTTCAAAGCTAGCAGAGTCTTTTCTTTTGAAACTCCTCTCTAGTTGGTCTTAAAGCTCAAATAAAAGCCTTTGTAGCTAAGGGTGCTCCCAACTAGAGAGTCCTATTCTCGACGCATGTTGTGTCAATGCGGTTCTAGTACGTTGAGGAACTTCTCAAGAATCATCTGATTCCTGACCGCGCAAAGCATATGCAATTTGCTTGCATGGAGATCTTCGCAGCAAAACTAATCTTGACTTTAAATGTTTTCAACTGATATGAGCGTCGTAATCTTTTCTGATGACTACCGTCGAGACTTCCATGACTGCTAGGATTAGGATTGACGCTATCTTGTCATATGCAAAGTCCTTTCCAGCTGCTTATGCTGGACCTTTACTTAAATTCGTCCTATATAAAGGGAAATGATATGTTATTTATACGCTAAAGTAGATAAACTTTAGAAACGAAACACACCATTTTTGATGGACTGGAGGATTCTGAGATTCCATGCCCCCTAGTCTACTCTTCCAATTAAGTGCTCCATTTCATCTTGAAGGTTGGATGATCTTCCCCTGGATTGCCGCTATTGGATTAGTCGGTCCGTTATCACTATTAGGGTCTGATGTGCTCTTTAGTTTGTCACCATCCTTGGGACTTAATGTGTCATTTCCAAATGCCCCTTTGTAATAACAAATCAAAATAGAGTATGTTCTGAGACACGAAGTGAGTGAGTTAGAAAAACAAACAGGGCTATGAGCATGCACGTCCTTCTACCACCATTCTTTCTTCGGTTCTTTTGAAAATCGATAAAACGTTCATTTCATTTTCAAAAGTTTAGAAACGAGGAAGCATGAGGAAGCTCGGGCCTCATAATACTTTCCTTTACATGGCTGGATATCATCAACGGGCCGATTTGGGATACCTCCTCATTCCCTTAAAACACTGTCATTATTAACTTTTTACAACAAGTGAATTTACAATCTCAGAAGATGGGGAGTTTCTAGAAGACATTTCTTCCAACAGAAATGACGCTAAGAAAAACACAAGATACAAGAACGGCCCCTTTTCAAGGGCCCATGCAAAAAAGGGGTAGAAGGAGTTCTACTTAAGCGGACTTGCACCCATTCCCTCCGTCGGTTTGAAATGAGAAAGCTTTATTATCCAACAAACTCTGGATTCGGCGCTTAAGAATGTAGCACTCATCAGTCAAATGCCCCACCTCACCTATATGATAGTCACACTTCTTTGACGGATCGTAGTTGGAGAAGTTTTCAGGATTATGATGTTTCCGCTCGGTAGAGAGTAAGCCCTTTTTTCAGAGAATTGCCAGCATCTGAGATGGGGACTCGAGGAGTGGAGTGAACTACCTTTTGTTACTTCGCCTTTGGGGCAACTGGCAGCCTGAAGCCGGCTGCTGTCCACCACTCATATGAATTGTCGGGGGGAGGACGAGTGTTCTAGGTGTATGTGAAATCCACGTTTGGCAGAAGGTCATTCTCCTTTTTCGCGCCGAGTCTCTTGCTTGTGGAGGTAGAGTCAGTGAACCACCCGTTGCGTAATCCCATCTCGATGCGTTTGTCTATCGGAATGAGTTGATTAAGTGACTCAGCAGTGGCACCAGTCAATCGGTGTTTGTATTCATAGGGAAGAGACTAGGAAGCTCTGGGGTAGTCTGAGTGGCTAAATTCCTCCACCTAGTGGCATACTCCTTGAATGATTCATTCTTCTTTTTTTAGTGCATTCAAGATCGTCACGAGAGAAGGTGATGTCGAGGTTGAATTGGTATTGCTTGGTGAATTCATTAGCAACTTCATCCCAAGATTCAAGGGCATTTATAGTCTTTGACATATACCATGTCAACGCTGGCCCTATCAAGGTTGCTTGCAAAGACTGGATCATGATGGGCTCATTATCAACACACTGGGTTATTCTCACATGGTACATGCGTAAGTGGGACTTAGGGCAAGAGATGCAATTATATTTCTCGAATTTTGGTATTTTGAACTTTTCTGGCACCTTGATCCTTTTGTACACAGACAGATCAAGTGGGAGAGAATTCTACGGGCCCTGTAACTGCTTTAACATCTACTCAACTTTCACGAGGCGTTTGTCATGTTCCGTCGTTGGCGCGCTCACGGGCTTAGCCTTCTTGATCGCAAGCGGCAGCGGATCCTCTTTTAGCATGGGCATCTTGCCGTTACTGGCCGTGGCTTGGTCATTGCCAGTGGAAGAATGCAGTAGCTCCACCTCAATTGATATAGGTGCGGGAGTGAGTTTTCCTTGGATGGACTCCACCTGCTTTGTGAGATTTTGGATTGCATTAAGGACTAGCTTCATTTCATTTTCCGTGTTAGTGAGAAGGTCGAGCGCGCTTTCCTTAGCCATTTTTGCTTGGCGAATGGGTATAGTTCGTAACTACCTAGTGAAGAAGTAGCAATGAATGAGTATAAGACCTCATTAGGTGTCAGTCCATGATTTAGTCTAGTACTGTATTTTCATACTCCGTTTAGTCAAGTACTTTTCCCCTTCTTGCAAAAATAAGAGATGCAATTTTTTTTAAACGACGAGAAATCGCATGGAAAACAATAATTTATAACGTGCTTATAAAAATAAAGGCATAAATTGGAAGTAAATATTCTAAAAAAATTTTAGTGATTCTTTCTTCCAAAATGACCATGGTAATAAATCCATAACTAACATAGACTAATCATGGACTAACTAGGACATACGAAAATAAGTAAATTGCAAAGTGCAGGAATAGAAAACTTACTTTACCGGGAACTATGGCAATCACAGAAACATACACATGGAATGTGAGGATTGATTTCTGTCTAGACAACTTTAGCAAAGTGAAGTTAAAAGGATCTCTGACCATCGTAGTCTCGCGTTGATGTCAGGTCCTTCTAACCTTGGCCAAAAAACAAAAATACTTATAAATTCAATTTTAAAAAAATAAAAATAAAAATAAAAATAAAGAAATGAAAAAAGAAAAAGAAAAAATTATTAAAAGGAGTTCACTGAGAAAAATCAAATCAGACTTTTCATATCAAACGGTGGAAAATATTTTCAAGTTTCAGCCTAGTATCAGAAAATATTTTCATTTTCCAGAAAAGTAATTACTGGAAAACATTTTTCGCAAAACAAATGGAGTGTCATTTATTTTAAAAAAAAGGTATAAAAGTTGTCAACTAAATTTGTATTGCATGGAAGTATTTTAGCAATATAATTTTTTTTTAAAATCATAAGAAATAAGTTTTCTTAGATTGATTAAATATGAAAGCGTTTTAACCGTATGGGTCGGGTATGAGTTGAGAAACTTACATTACAAATAAATAAGTCATAAACGGATTAATGGGTCAATTTGGATAGGACAATTTATGATCCGACCCATCCATTTGACAGGCCTAATTTCTAGCAAGTCTTCCTTGAAGAAGCCAAGAACGCAGCATGTGGCTTGCGACAATCATATAAGCATGGAAGATAAAGCATGCATGTTCACATGCAAGAAAGTGAGGGTTTGGTATTGCAAAAATTAAAGAACGTGGGGATGGGGAGTTGGGACAAACTCGCACCTAACTTTAAAGAAAAATAAAAAATATATAATTATGAATTTGAAATAAGGTTTTCGCAGTGCATAGCTCTACAATTATGGCAATCCATATCTATCTATTCATTTCGAAACAAGAATACTAAACACTATTCTTCTGTGCAAAAGCAGATGGCTGTTCGTCTTCCTTCTTTTCGTGCCTCAGTCGCACCATCTCTCAAGCGGAGTGTGTCGCAGCCTTCACCGATTAGAGCTCACAGATTCAAAGAAGAAGAAGGTAAACGTTCGCGCTAGAGTCTTTGCTCTACTACACATCAATATAGTCGAAATTCAAATAACTTTTCACGATATTTATCATCTTATTTTGTTGAAATATACAATCTATCATATAGTCTTTGCTTGCCGAAACACATTAAAAAAGAACGTTAAGTGCGCAACTGCAAGTGCTTGTACATGATGATGTCTTGGTATGGATCCAGGAAGATCATCATCCAGCAATCTAGTCGATGCGAAGTTGAGCGTCTTGAGAAAGAGGATCGATGAAGCGAAGACTAAGGAGAGACTGGAGAGGTGTTGCAGAAGCAAGATTGGGTGGAACTACGCCAAGTCCAGATGCTATTCCATATATAGGCGGAGAAATGACGCAGAGAGGTCGGAGTTCTTTGAACTCGTACTCTTAGTTTGCGGAAATATCGGCCTAACAAACATTGCTTGTGCATTCTTCCTTTGCTTAGCTTCCGTATTCATACATCTGAGTCAACTTCATGACCATTTCTTGTAGATCTCTCTGTCTCTCTATCTCTCTCTTCTAGCAATTTCTCAGTGTTCAGTTTCTTTGGTGCTAAACTTGATATCCATGTAGCGTTCTTAGTATATCTGTAACAACCCTATTTGATTTAAATTATATGTACTTAAAATCCAAACATATATTCTTTAGTGAGACACTTACGAAAAAAGTCATAATGTGCTAATTCAGTCCTAAACCTTTCAATTGTGCAAATTTATTTCTAAACATTTTCACATTTTGCCAATTGAGTCTATCTGACTAATTTTGACTGAAAATCACTAACATGGATGTCGATCGTACTATGTGTCACGACCAGCGTTAACATCGACATTTTAAATAATAGTTTGATAATTTTTTAATTTTTATAATTTTTTGGTTTCTTCTTCTTTTTTGTTTTGGACTGAGGGTTGGCCGACCCTTGCCGGCCACAGGCGAGGGCCAGCAACCCTTGCCAGCAATGGGTGAGGGCATCGCCGCCCTCGCCGGCCAAAGGAAGGGCTCAACCCCCTCGCCAGATTTGGGCCAGATGAGGGTGCTGTTAGTGATTTTTGGCGAAATTAACTGGGAGAACTATATTAGAATTTTGTGTAAAGGTTTAAGATTAAATTGAAAATATCGCAAAATTTTAGTATTAATTTGGCATCCATACAATATGTTCAGAACTGATTAGATAATTTTCCCTTCTAGATGATAAATACTATAAATGGAAACAAATCACCTAATATCCAAAAATAAAAAGTTTCTAAAATAAAGTAAGATGCGGAAATAAACAATAAATACAATCTTTTGAAATATAAGCAACGCGGCAAGCAATAGATAAATACGGATTCAACGATCCGCAAAGATGCACTCGAGCGCACACGCTCACATGCCTAACTCTAGAGAGAAATCTCTTTTTCCGTATGCTGTAAACTATGACGAAAGTTATCTGATATATAGAAAAGGATCAAATAAATACTTTGCTAACCCTTGATGACACTAGAAAAACCGAAAATAACCTTAAGCAGTAAAGAATTGTAAAATAAACAAAAGTCTAAAATAATGCAGAAAAATTACATAAAAATAGAAAAGTGCCCCGAAAAACACCTCAAGATGGATTTTGAGGTCCGAAACCACTACAAATGGGCAACCGAATTTGGCCCCAGCATAGTTCTACATGCTTTTCGAATTGATATCATGGGCCGTGCAATCTTTTCTAGATGGAAAGTAACGTGGAAAACTAGTCGTCAAGTTATTTGGAGGATCCCGAGTATAATGGCTCATCATCTAAAATAATACTGATAGACATCATCAACTAAAGAGATACTCATAGAACCTGGAAGATCAATGACGTAGACATTATCGTTCATACGCTTCTTGATGTTTTACGTCGTGTACTTCTTCGGTGGCAGCTTGCCATACTAACCAACCGAAAACCATTCTTTCTGCAAGACAACCATCACGTCGTCTCCTTCAACAAAAAGTCATAAACCTATTGCACATTTACCAATTCAGTCCAAAACCTTTTAATTGTACCAATTGAGTCAATCTGGCCAATATTGATCGGAAATCACTAACGTGGACACCTGCCGTCCAAGTGGCATCATAGGCACTGACATGGATAATTTTTTTATATAATATTTTAATATTTTTTTGAATTTTTTTATTATTTATTTTCCTTTTCGTTTTCTTTCTCTTTTTTTTTTTTTTCCTTCTTCCTCTGGCCAGTGAGGTTAATCTCGCCGGCCTCTGGCGAAGCTCGCCTAGTGACAGCGAGATCGGCCTTGCCATGGCTGGGCGAGGCTGGGCTGGGCAAGGCTCGCCCTAGCTAGTGGCCGGTGGGGGTGAGCTTCGCTAGAGGCTGGTGGGGTCAACCTCGCCGGCCCTCGCCTTTGGCCAGTTCAGCGACCGCCTAGAGGAAGAAGGGCAGAAAGAGAAAGAAAAAAAAAAGGGAAAAAATTCAAAAAATATTATTAAAAATTGTTCACGTTAACACTAGCGACGCCATGTAGGATGGCTAGTATCCACATCGGTGATTTCCGGCTAAAATTGGGTAGATGGACTCAATTGGCAAAAACTAAAAGGTTTAGAACTCAATTGGCATAATTAAAAGGTTTAGGACTGAATTGATAAAAGTGCAAAAATTTTAGGAGTTAGACAATTTTCTCTACTTTCTTCTGACGATGATGATGGTGCAGCTTATGCTTAGCGGTAGCTCTGTCTAGTCTTTGCTTAACAGCCTCTTGAGTCGACTACTGTGTTGCCAAATTTGAGTTTCTAGTCTTTTCTCAATTGACATATGATGTATATGCAAGTAAAGCACATGACGGGGACATTTCCCATGGACAACACAGAAAGGAGACTTCCCTCTAGGTGAATAAGCCGTACTGTTATATACAAACTCCGCCTGAGCTAATGCCAAGTCCCATTGTTTCGATCTCTCCCACAAATACCAGGGATTAATTTTCCTAGAAACCGGTTAACGGCTTCTGTCTGATCGTCGTCAAATGATTTAGTATGGAAGCATAATATCGTGCTCTTACTAATATGACATCGCGATGATTACTAGAAGACATGAGAGTCCGTCATAATAGCGAGACGGTTATTTAGCGTGACAAGTGCTATTCAAATAGAATATAATGATGTTTTTCATGAGCACACCAAACACGTCAAAATAAATTGTTATTTCGTACGATAATCACATGCTTCGTGGTATTGTTTGTCTTGTCTCAACTTCATTGGTTGAATAGACAACTGATGTCTTCATTAAAGGCACGTCTACTCGGGCGGTTTTTGAATCTTTTCTCCAAAGTTTAGTTGAATTGTACGATGTCAACTTGAGTTTGAAAGGATGTTAGAGACAATTAGAAGATAATTAGGAGATTTTTTAGCATCTTAATTGATTATCAATATCTCTTAAGATTGTGTATTATTTCCCTTGATTATCCATATCTTTAGTTGATTGCGATTGATTTTGTAATATCTTGTTATCATAGACAGTAATCTTGTAAAGCCTATAAATACCTATTCTTCATTATAGAATAGACAGAAATTATAGAATCCTCATTTCAGCAAATTCTTATCTAAACGAATCATAAAAAGCGGTTTGGATCGGTCTGTGAATCATTTTTTGTTTTGTTTTGCGAAAAAAGTTATTTTTTTTCAAATAATCTAAGAGTATGAGCGTAGAGTCTTGACTATATGGAGATGCATAAAACACATTACAAACTCCTTGAACTTGTGAAGTCCCAAAGCAGTTTAACAAGTAGTTAATGGATTCGAACTAATGGCGCCCCAAACAATTGTCCCAACCCTGGGTTAAAACTAGTTTAAGAAAAGTACTTTTAAATCGAACCGAACCACCAAAAATGGTTTGATTCAATTTGGGGTAACAGTTTGAACCCTTTTTATTAGTCACCCCTAATTATTTTTTACTAGCAAGTCTTTTGTGGAGGAAGCTAAGCACGCGACATGGTGCTTGTGGCAATTATATAAGCAAAAGACATGATCTCACAATTTTTTTTTGGGTATGAAAAATAGCTAAAACCGAATACAAAAATTTAACATCATAAATCTACCATCTCTATTTTATCACCTAATAAAACATGAAGTAACTCTCTAGGAGGTAGTAAAAAGAATCTAGTATCCAAGCACTTATTAATTCCGAGATTAGCAAGACAGTCAGCGGAGCAATTTCTTTCCCGAAAGTTATGATGCACGTTAAATTTAAAGTGAGAGCACAATAGTCTTTTGATATCTTTAAGCAAAGTAGGGCAACATTATCAATCTAAGCTCTGGACTAAAAAGATTAGTGATGGCTTTAGGGTCAATCTCAATGACAATCTCATGAAAACCAAGTTGTTTTGCGAAGTTGGGTTCCAACCACAAAGCCCAAGGTTCTGCTTGTGTCGACGAACATATTCCTACAAATGTGGCAAAACCACCAAACCAGTCACCCCCTTCATTTCTAAATAAACCCCACGCACTAGCAACTCTTGGGTTGCCTTTACAGACCCCATCAGTATTCAGTTTAATCCACCCGGAAGGTGGAGGACTCCTTCTTACCAAAATCGGAGAAGTGCATGATTCACTTATCGTCGAGTTATTCACAAATGAAACTTTAATGATTTTCTTTGTGTATGATTGGATTACTTATATCATATTCGAAGGGAAAACAAAGTTGTCCTGGAAAAGTGACTTGTTTCTCCATTGCCAAAAATCCACATACTCCAAAAATTATGCTCCAATCATGATGAAAATTCGATTGCCCTTTTCCAGCGAGATTTGAATTCAACCATTGTGACAAATTCATTTAGAATAATTCTTCAAAATATTGTCGTGGGGAAAACTCAAGTCATATCCTACGGATAATTGGATAATCCCTTAAAATATGTAAAGTTGTTTCCACATGAGACTCACATCTCAAGCAATACGGATTTCCTCCCAAGTTGTGAGAGGTCTTCAATTCAATAGTTAATAGTCTCTTATAAGCGGCCAGCCAGAAGAAAGTTCTATCTCGTTGAGGTCCCTTCCACTTTCAAATAGTGGACCATTACTGTCAAAATCTTGATTTTTGCCCCATTCATTACCTCACACATTGACTTAACATAGAAAGACCTGCTTCAAGTACCCTCCCACAAGATTATCTTCCCCATTAGAGGTTAAAAGAGATTTGATAGCTCTAGTGCGAAAGACTATATCTTTTGGTATGATTCCCCGAAATATCCGAAAATTACAATTTCCATTCAGTACATAATCGCAAATTTTTATGTCCATCTCAAAAGGAGATAGTTGGGTACTAACAATATTATAGAGCGACTCCATACCTGGAATTCATCTTTCTGTCCAAAACCTAACACATTTTCCATTTCCCAAACTCTACAAAGCTCATTCCTGTTAGGCCGACCATACATTCACAATCACCTTCCATAAGATCGAGTCACCAGGTTTAGCATAAAATAGTTCTCTGTGAACAATATTTAGCCGTCAGAATTTGTGCCCAGAGATTACTGAGTTGCGTCTTGAGGCCCCATACTAGCTTCATCATAAACCCTTGATTAGTCAGTTTAAGAGATCGAAAACCAAGACCACGATATTTCTTAGGTTTGTAGATTGACTGCCAATTAAGGAGGTGAATTCGACGTTTGTCCCTTGTGTCTCCCCATATGAAAGCATGGCAATTCTTTTCAATCTCTTGATAAACTTGAGTTGGAACTTTATTGCAGTGCATGTAATACATAGGGATAGAGATAACTACAGAATAGACCAATGTAATTCGACCCGCCATTAATAAGCTTTCAAATCTCCATCCACTAAGCCTTTTATTCATCATTGCTAATAAAGATTGAAAAGCCTTAAAGAAGTTCTTCCATGAATCAAAGGCACTTCCAGATATTTGCCTAGCTCTGCACATACACAAAACCAGAAATCTCGTTGAAATTACATTTCAACCCCAGTGAAGTATTCTTTGAACAGAAAATTTTAATTTTAGCCTTGTTCACAATCTGGCCTGATCTATTGCAAAAATCACGTAAATATTCCATGATGACATCCATTTGATCTCTTGAAACCTCTGCCATTAACAGGAGATCATCCGAAACACATTAGATAAGAAATTCATGGTCCACTCCTTCGAAAGCAAAAATGTTTCCATCATTTTGAAATTACTACATTATTAATAAGGTGAGATAACCTTTCCATGCATAACACAAAGATGTATATAATGTCGCAATTATGATCATGCCTCCGCACTCCTTAGTCTTGCCGTAACGCATGGAAGATAAAGCAAGCACAAGTTTACTTTACATGCATCAAAGTCGGGGTTGGGTTTCGACCAAAAAAAAAAAGGTCGGGGTTGGGTATTGCCAAAGATAAAGAACGTGGGGGTGGGGGAGTTTGGCACCTAACTTTATAAAGAAATAAAAAAACCCATAATTATCAAGCTGAAAATTGAATCAATAGGCTGACCTAAGGTTTTTCGCAACCGCATGACTCTACAATTATGGCAATTCATATCTATCTACCTATCCATATCTATCTATTCCGAAACGAGGAAATACAAATGGCAATCTTGGTACTTACAAGACAAACATCTTTAGTTGGGCGGCTATTCTACGATCAAATTCTTTGTGTAACGATTTTAGAGATATCATACTTTATTCTAGGTCAAAGGAGAACATCCTTTTTTCCCCTAAATTCCAATACAAGCACGAGAAAATCATGGTTGACAGCTAAGTTGCGAGGATTGTTCTTTGTCCAAATACGTAACTCCAAAAGCGACGTGCTTACTTTATGCAATTGATTTGACTCTATCGAAGACACCTAGTATCATTTCATCATTTGTAAAACATTTTATTAATCGTTATTGACGTACGACCTCTTCTATTTGCCAGAGACAAGGCTTCACATATTATCAAAATGATAATAATCATAATAATACTAATTACTTTTTTTGCTTTTGGGTGATCATGGCCTTCCAACGTTCAACCCTCCTGAGATGAGAACTTCTATATTGTCTGCATGTGCAGGCTTTATTTTGACTCGATCAAAAGTGAAGCCAACCTGTGTTCCATGTGTATGGAGGAGATTTACTGTACCGTGTGACGACAACTCTGACAGCTGTAGAGGGCTGCTTTTGATAGTTTTATTCAACTATAAAACCGTGTTAATGGCAATGCTACATGGTGTTCTTCTGTGCAAAAAGCAAATGGCTATTCGTCTTCCTTCTTTTCGTGTCCCAGTCGCACCATCTCTCAAGCGCTGTGTGTCGCAGGCTCCACCAGTTAGAGCTCAGAGATTCAGAGAAGAAGAAGGTAAACATTTGCCCTAGATTTGGCCATCTAACGCTCTCTGCACTTCATATCATTATAGTGGATATTCAAAAATCTTTTCATGATATTATGATCTTTCTTCGTATATTGTACAGTCTTTGGTCGCTGTAAAGCTTAGTTGTTTTCTTCTCGTGGCTCACATTGAAAACAGCACGTTAGATGCGCGCCTGGAAGTGTTTCTACATGATGATGTCTTGGTGTGAATGCAGGGAGATCATCATCCAGCAATCTAGTCGATGCGAATTTGAGCGTCCTAAGGAAGAGGATCGATGAAGCGAAGACGAAGGAGAGATTGGAGAGGTGTTGTAGAAGCGAGCTTGGGTGGAACTACGCCACGTCCGGATGCTATTCCATATCCAAGCAGAGGAAAGACGCAGAGAGGCCAGAGTTCTTTGAACTCCTACTCTTAGTTTGCGGAAATATCGCCCTGACAAACATTGCCTGTGGATTCTTCCTTTGCTTGGTTTCCATATTCATTCATTTGAGTCAACTTCACGACCCTTTCTTGTGAATCTCCCTTTCTCCCTCCATGTAGTTCTGTATAGTTGGACACAACAAAGAGTTGTTGGAGCTCACAGAATTAAAGACTATGATTGCTAGCAATTTCTCAGTGTTCACAGTTTTATTAGTGCTAAACTTGATATCCATGTAGTTGTTCTTGAGATAATTTTAGCAACCCTATTGGATTTACATAGCACTGATGACCAGTTACTACCTTTTCTAGTTACATCCTAAAGAAATACAATGCACCATCAATTAGGTTTCAAATATATTTTCCAGTTACAAAATACATATAATTGCATACACCATGAACCTTCTTGAGAGAGCCAACAATCTTCGTAACCTTCTCATAATAACATAATCACGACAAGCTTATGCTACTTATGACAGAAGATCACACGTATGTTTGCTACAATGGCATCAGCTTAAAAAAACGATGAAACAAAAGCAAGTTGGAGATATGCTACAACGTCGACCGTCCCTCCATGTCTTGTATTCAAGACATTTCTGTGGTCCCTAATGTAACCAGCTTTTAATATGACTAGATCTGTGAGATTAACCTTTGAATCATTGCCATGGATTCATAGATCAATATCTAATTTACCGATACAACATTTAATACTTTGAGCTGGGACGACCTTGTGAAAAAATAAACACGAGTAAACAATTGGGTTGTTGACGAAGTAGAAACGAATGATAGGGTGGATGAGAATTCGAACACACGAGTAAACAATTGCAACACAGATGACGACACGCAATATAGAAAAACTCTTTGTTTTTAATTTATTCAGCAAAGGATAAGCTAAAGTACAAGAGGACGTAATATCTATTCATATCTAATAAACTCTATCAAATATTAACTTTAAGACCAATAAGAAAATCCGACCTACTAAAGCTTGTATGTCTAAATGATAACTCCTAAATATTGAAACAAATCACCTAATATTGTAGCATAATTTCCAAAATAAAGTAAGATAAGGAAATTAACAAATATTATAATCTCTAGAAGTATAAGCAGTGCAGCAAGCTATATATAAACACGGATTCAACAATTTACAAACACGTACTAGGTGCACACCCTCAGGCGACTAACTACAGAGAAGAATCTCTTTTTCTGTATTCTGTAAAACACGAAGACAGTTGTCTAATGCCCTGCTAACCCTAGGTGACACCGAACATCCCGAAAATAACCTTAAGCAGTAAAAAATTCAGAATAATAAATAATTGTCTAATATAACGCGGAAAAAAAATGATATACATATAGAAAACTGCCCCGAAACACCCTGAAACTAGAGCTTTTGGGTCCAAAATGACTGCAAATGGGCAACCCAATCCAGTCGTGGCATAGTGCTGCGATCTTTCGAGTCAGTACTGTGGGCCTCGTAACTCTCCTCACGATTTTCAAGCATGGACAATACTGCAGTTCTCTTTGGTCCTTCACTAGTAACAACTGTTGGAGGTTGGGGAGAGGATCCAGTTCAACTGTGCATGCTTCAAAGGGACAGCTTAACCCCCGCACCCTTTCCTAGGGGCTCGCTTGGATGGCCGACCTGCAAACATTTTCCGCCAATCACAACTCTGCAGAATAAAAGGCATAAATTGACTTCCCCTACAAAAATAGAGGAAAGTGTTTTCCTAATTAGAGTTGAGTTTGGTGTTAGTCTGGCAAGGCTGTGGACTAGTGCAACTCTTCTAAAAAGCTCTCTCTCTCTCTCTCTCTCTCTCTCTCTCTCTCTCTCTCTCTCTCTCTCTCTCTCTCTCTTCAAATTTGGTATATAACTTCACAAAAAACTTGTAAAGTTCTTAATAAAGAGACCAACCCACAGGAATTCTTTTTCATTAAGTTATGACCAAGCTTTTGAAAATTATTTCCTTTACATATAGAGATATATTAATAATTAGCGAAAAATGACCATTTTCTTTGAAAATGATTTTCGAAGAAAACATTTCCTTCATCATAAGATAAATTATCATTCACGGTTGAAGAGATAAGAAAATGTAGCATTTTCATCTCTCACAAGAAAATACTCGTATATCATCGTATGAATCTTACGAGACAAAAGTCTTTATTTGGGGGCTATTCCACCGTCAAACTAATTCTATTGCAACGATTTCGAAGACATCGTACTTTATTTTAGGTCAAAAGAGAACATCCTGTTTTTTTTATTTCTACAAACACAAAAAAATTCATGGCTGACAGCTAAGTTGTTTGCCAGGACCTTTCTTTGTCCAAATACGTGACTCCAACGGCGACGTGCTTATTCTATGCAATTAAAATCGACTATGCACTAGACACCTAGCATCATCACGTCATTTCTAAGTCATCTTGCTATTCTTTATTCAAGCACGACCTCTTCTATTCGCTAGAGACAAGGCTTTGCATAATAATAATAATAACAATAACAATAATAATGGCTTGCAAAAGTCGAACCATCCTGAGACCTTCTAAATTGTCTGAATGTACAGGCTCTACCTTGACCCAATCAAAGCGAAACCAATCTGTGTTATTCACTATGCCGTGTGACAAATCCAACATCTCTAAAGGCTGCTTTTGATAGTTTCATTTAGCTATAAAACTGTGTGAATGCCAATTATTCTTCTATGCAAAAGCAAATGGCCCTTCGTCTTCCTTGTTTTCGGGCCTTAGTCGCACCATCTCTTCAGCGCGGTGTCTCGGAGCCTCCACCTGTTAGAGCTCAGAGTTTCAGAGAAGCAGAAGATAAAGGTTTACCCTAGATTTGGCCCTTTAACATTCTCTGTGCTACATATTGCTGTAGTAGAAATTCGAATAACTTTCCATGGTATTCATCATGTAGTCTTCGTTCCCCACAAAAGTTTCTGTTGTTTTCTTCTTGTGGGTCACGTTAGAAATAGCACATGTGTGCGCCTAATAATGCTTATACGTGATGATGTCTTGGTATGGATCCAGGGAGATCATCATCAAGTAATCTAGTCGATGCGAATTTGAGCGTCTTGAGAAAGAGGATTGGTGAAGCAAAGACGAAGGAGAGATTGGAGAGGTGTTGCAGAAGCGAGCTCGGATGGAACTACGCCACTTCTGGATGCTATTCCATATCCAAGCGGAGAAAAGACACGGACAGGTCGGAGTTCTTTGAACTCGTACTTCTAGTTTGCAGAAATATTGGCCTAACAAACGCTGCTTGTGCATTCTTCCTTTGTTTAGCTTCCATATTGATTCATTTGAGTCAACTTCATGACCATTTCCTGTAAATCTCTCTCTCTCTCTCTCTCTCTCTCTCTCTCTCTCTCTCTCTCTCTCTCTCTCTCTCTCTCTCTCTCTCTCTCTCTCTCTGTAGTTCCGTATAGTTTGACTCAAAAAGAGTAGGTTGAGCTTAAAGGATTCATGACGTTATCATTCCTAGCAATTTCTCAGTGTTCACAGTTTCATTGGTGCTAAACTTGATATCCATGTAGTTGTTTTTAGGATATTTATAATAACCGTATTAGATTTACATTAGCACATACAATTAGTTACTAACTGTTGACACCAAAAAATGATCAATTTTTTATTTATTATCGACAAATGACAAACTGAGTTGATAAACAGTTTGGTGAGAACAATTGGCAACTTGAAAAGATCAAAAACATCATCGACCCTAAACATCAGTTATCGATGAGAACCTTCATAATGAGGTCATCGACAACCATTGCCGATTTTACTAAGTGTTGGAACTTGAAGGCAGTAATGATGAATTGACGCTGGAACATAAATGTTGGGTGGGTATAACTTCTTATAGATAAGTGTTGTTTAATAGTTGGAGATTGCGGAGTAAATTCTTGTAATCATATATGTTGATATCTAAATTTTGACAACCCAGTCAGTCGTTCGTTGCATAAAAAATTAGGGATCGATCTCAGTCTCTAGACAAAAAATTAGTTAAATTGCATATAGATTATGAGCATTTGAATAAGTAATTAGGTCCATATAATCGCATTTGCACTGGACTGGCGGTGAATGGACTGGAGTGGATGGTCTTTAAGTCCGTATGAACGAAAACTTGGTCAAGCCCACATTACCCTTTAGGCGACCAAATTATAGTTTTTATATTATTTGCCAAGATTCGGTCACATAATGAATAATTGGCAATAATCTTTGGGGTATATGTGCGTCCATGGATTTTGGAAAATTCGGTCAAGATTATGGAATGTGCAAGAGGGAAATTGACCACCACTTACGGGGAAAGAATTGGTAGAGCGGTTGCATGATTCTCTTGTAATATTCACGTGATGTTGGCAGTATAGAAAAAAGGAGAGGAAATAAAAATCAATCTCAGTTGATTGAGGGGAAATCAAAGGATATATTTCTTTTCCTTGTCCAAAATTTTATGTCCTGACACTGTAAAAGACGCGGCAATACAAGAAAAGGGGGAGGGGGCCACACAATTCATAACACACTGGCCACAATATAGAGAGAGAGAGAGAGAATTGTCTTCATTTACGGGGGACTCTCTTTTTGGTCTGACAAGAGACAAAAGAAAAGAAAAAAGACAAAACACAGAGAGATATCATTAAGAATAAAAGAGAGAGGAAGCTGTCGTCTCCTTCCTTGGTGTTTCGCTTGGAGCTTCAACCTGCAACTCGAGCCACTCGTGCCCTGCTCGCTGCTCTTCGCCTGTGACGGTGCTGTTGCCATCTGCACCGCGACGCTGCTCACTGCTTTCGTTCTAGCCCGAGCTGTTGCAATCCCAACGACCATAGCCGCTGCTGCCGCTCCTGTCCTGACCTCATCGCTGTTTCCAAGTTCGGGATCACTTTCGACGAGCTGTTCCGTACCGCAAGCAACGCCGAGCTCCTGCAACCTTCAGCCTGCAGCGTCCCTGCTGTTTGCGTTGAGTCCAGGAGCCCCATTGTCAAAGATCCCTGCACTACGGCGGCTTCCTTTTGGTCTAGCTCCTCCCTTTCACAACGGAGAAGTTCTTTCTATCTTGCAGATTTTTTAGCGAGCCCCACCGAATTCTTGATGTGCAGTGAGTCGTGACATCCTTGCTGTGTCGCTACCGTGAACCATCCACACCAAGTAGCCAAGCTAGCGGCTATCCTTGGTCGCGAACCACCGTCCGCCGGTCCAAACTTGAAAAGCAAATATTCGAAGTAAGTAAAAATCTCATCTAATTTGATTTTCGAGTATATTGTTTTCTTGTTTAAAATATGTCAATCTTATATGAATTTTTGAATGATATTATCGTATCCATTAAGTTCCCAAATAGCCTTTAAATTAGGAATTATTTCCTAATTTCACAACGTACATATGATCGATAATCCGATTTCATGTCCGAAATATGACTCGCGATCGTACGGAAAATCGTCAATCCGATCTCCCGCCTGAGATATGATTCGCGATTGTGTGGAAGATTGGCCAATCCGATCCTCATGCCCGAGATATGATCCGTCAATCTATTGTTTCTAAATTTAAATGGATACGGATAATATTTCTTATGATTGGGTGTCGTGTTCATTTCATTGCTATTTCTTTCCGTCTTTTGTTTGAATTGAATTGATTGTCTTTCCAAAAACAAATACAAAAATGATTAGGAAATTGCATGTTTAGGATAAATTTTGAATATTTTCTTAAAATAGATTAGATTCTTTTCTTAGATATTATTAGTACATGTTTAAATTAGGTTAATTATTTATTCCGAATTTAAATTAAAAAAATATGAAAAAATACCACGTGCATGTCATATTAGAGTAGTTGCATATTAATTAATTCTCGTCATTAGAAATCTCACGTCTAGGTTCATTTGCGTGCCATATTAGAGATAGTGCATTTAATTTTTGTTAGAAGTGGGACATTTAAATAAATCGTACGTCGCATGTCATATTAGACGTATAATGCATTGCACAAAGTTTAGTTTTCGTTAAATCAGAGAAAACCCTAAAAAAGATTTGAGTGAATTTGTGTGTTAATTAGAAATCATATTAGAGTTGTCAATGTGATTTTCTAACTAACATTACATATGCTTTCGTTGCTTTCAGGTAAGTCCCTACTTGCAATTTATTTATTGCTTTGCATTATTGAGTGTTATATTATTGGATGTGCATCCGCATGATCACCTTGCATTTTAGTGGATAGGTTTAAAATCAATCCAAGCTACCTGGAAATATTTTTTTGAAATAAAAGAGAAAAGGTACCGAAGGGCATTAGAGTAATCTAGTGTAACCAAGTTCCCGAATCCATAATCTCTTGTTCGTAGGAGTAAAGTAATTCTCCCGATACTTTACTTGGGTTTCCAATTGACCCACCAAAAAATAGATTAGTGGTGACTCCTAATTGAAATGATTTGCATGTTAAAAACTTAAATCTTAAGTCGCGAATTGATATAGGCTTGGGAGAGTCCGAGTTAGGTCTAGACTTAATAATCCATTAGCCGAACCCCTAGGTGGTGCACCGCAGGAGGTTAGGTCGCGACAATAAAGGATTAGGAAGTTATATGTTCTTTTAAATTCAATAACCCCAAGTAACCGTTGGTAGAGGGTTATACTTCCCCAAGTGTATTCATTATAAGCCCCCTCAAATCAATTACAGAAGTTAGCGTTCTTATGCAAATTTATCGTTATCTTTACTTTCTTGCAATTTACATGAGTAGATATGATTGTCTTCGGTTTCTATACTTTTAAATTTCTTGCCATTTACTTTCCTGTCAGAAAACAACAAAGAACCCTCCGCAACCTCTGTTGATTTATATTGATCCATCCATATTTTTTAAGTATATTTCATCATTTTTTGGCAAAACACTAACCTATCTAGTTACATTCTAAAAATTTACAACGTGTCACCAATTATATTTGACATATATTTTTAAAATTCAACAGTATATATTCTAAGTTGGTACATAAACTTATGGCGATTCACACCACGAGATACCTTCTTGAGAGAGCCAACAATCTTTGTACCCTTCTCCTGAAGACATAATCACGACATAATTATGCCACTCACGACGGAAGATCACACGTACGTTTTGTTTGCTCCAATGGTAATAGCTGAAAAAGCGATAAAAAAAAAAGCACGTTGGAGATATGCGACAACCTCGAGAGTCCCTCCATGTCTTGAATCGAATATTTGAATACAAGACATGTCCTTGGTCCGAATTGTAAGAAGCTATTAACGTGACTAGATCTGTGAGATTACCCTTACCATCTTTTCCATGAATCTATAAGATTGGAAATAATACTGAAAGGGAGCTTGTCATCAATCAATATCTAATTTACCGATGAAAAATTTAATAATTTGTGCTGCGATGACCTGGTAAATAGGTTTCTAAAGACCAAATAGGTATTTTTGGGTTATTGATGCAGCAGAAATGGGTCATTCTCGAGTGACAACTTGCAAACATGAGTATAACAGAGAAATCTCCCAATTTTTCATTAATTCATCAGAGAATAAGCTAAATTACGAGTAAGCACAATATCTATTCATATCTAACAAAAGCCCTAATCAAATTCTAAATCTAAAATTGGAAATAGATGAAATAATTAGAAATCTGACCTACTAAATCTTAAATTCTAAATGATAACTACTAAAAATTGACACAAATCACGTAGTATCTTAACATTTAAAATATATAAAATAAAGTAAGATAAGGATATAAACAAAAATATATTATTTTAAGATGCACGCAATGCGGCAAGGACAGATAAGCACGAATTCAACGATCCACAAACACGCACCCAAGCGCACAAGCTCGAGCGCCTAACTATAGAAAGAGATCAATTTTTCTGTATTCTATGAAATAGGAAGAAAGCTATCTGATATATAGAAAAGATCAAATAGATACCCTCTTAATCGTTATTGACACTAGAAAATCCGAAAATAATCTTAAGCAGTAAAGAATTAGGATAAATAAACAAAACCCTGAAGTTATGCACAAAAATGACGTAAAAATAGAAAAGCGCCTCGAAAAACACATAAACGATGTACTTTGAGGTCCGAAACGACTACAAATGGGCAACCCAATTCATCCGCAGTATAGTGTTATGTGCTTTCTAAACCGATATTATGGGCTGCACAACTCTTTATTGATCAAAAGTAATGATGGTTTCTCCATGAGCTATGCGAATTTTTGTCTTAGGACCCACTTGTTAGATTGTATCCATTTGAATGCTCTAGAAAATCATTAGTAACAGCATTAACGTCAATCCTCTCCACTTGGGGAAAACTCATCCTCAAGTTATTTGGAGGATCTCAAGTATAATGGCTCATCATCAAAACATACTGATAGCCATCAGCAAGGACAGAGATACTCATCAAAGCTGGAAGATTAGCGACACAGGCGTCATGTTAATTTGCTTCTTGATCTTGGACGTTCCTTATTTCTTCGATTGCAGCTTGCCATACTAACCCATCAGAAACCACTCTTTCCCGTAGAAATCATCACGTTGTCACCTTTAACAGGTACTTTCTTTGACTATGATGATCCTTATCAAGCTTGTACTTAGCGTTAGCCCCTTCTAGTCTCTGCTCAATAGCCTCTCCCCACAAATATTAAGTTTCCCAGAATCCGTTTAACAGCTTCGGTCTAACCATCTGTCTATGGATGAGTTGTGCTGCTGTAGTTAAGGATCGAACAAAAAACAGCTGAGAAACCTTGTATCACGGTTGGAAGTAATGGTTTTCGAAATACTGTGCGATTTCACTACTTCAGAGAAGAACAGCCTCACAAAATGAGACCCATAAAATGTTTTCTTACATGGAATGAAATGCGCAATCTTACCGAAAATATGGCATTGGAGTAAAGGATTTGCTTCGAGCTTGTGCTTCAAGAGAATACTTGCTTATATGGAGAAACTCCTTCGTTTACATTTTCAAGATTTTTCAGGTAAATGCTGACTTCAATTCTCATTTCCAACTTGAACTAGCTAATGTACTAACACGATGCAACTCATTTATCAGCTCGTGGTTATCGCATTTATTACAATGACCCTCTTCTTTCGGACTAAGATGCCTCGGGATACCACAGCCGATGGAGGGATTTATATTGGCGCATTGTTCTTCACTCTCACTATGATCATGTTCAATGGAATGGTGGAGATTTCCATGACAATTGCCAAGCTCCCAGTTTTCTACAAGCAAAGAGATCTCCTCTTTTACCCGGCATGGGTATATGCTCTTCCAATTTGGATTATAAAGATCCCTATCACCTTCGTGGAGGTTGCAGTTTGGGTGTTCATCACCTACTATGTCATTGGATTTGATCCATATGTTGGGAGGTAAGAAAGAAAGGGGTTAATTTCACTGTTGAAGGACGGCAAATCCATCCTTGCGTTTGTAAATTTTTTACTGTTTCGATGTATGAAGTGTCTGTGTCGTGTTTTCAGGTTGTTCAGGCAGTACCTTTTGCTTGTGCTTGTCCAGCAGATGGCATCGGCATTATTTCGGACAATTGGGGCAGTGGGTAGAAACTTGATTGTTGCCAATACATTCGGGACATTTTCTCTGCTCATTCTCTTTACATTAGGTGGTGTTGTTCTTTCAAGAGGTATAGTGTACATAGAATTCAAAAGTTTTTTTTCCCTAGGCCTTCTGTCGTCAAAAGGAGTGCTAATTTCCCTTCTCTATATGAATGGCAGAGAATATAAAGAATGGTGGATTTGGGGTTATTGGGTATCCCCCTTAATGTACCGGTCCACCACTGCAAAAACAAAGTCGGGACCACGTTGACTATGCGGTAAACCGAGCACGAAATCCATAGATGCAACTCCCAAGTATCTTCCGGAACCAGCGAAGGAATGCACAAACCTGTATTCTGCATCTGCCACTTTGCTATTTGACAAACAAAACGATGCTGCACTATTCTGCAACATCACGCTTCGACTGAGGCCAGAAATACTGCTCCAAGTACCGTTGCAATGGTTTTTATCTTGACCCAACTGATCGGTCAGTCCGCCCCCATGAAGTTGTCCACTAACATATATTCTATTGATGATAATCATCTGGGTTAATACCACAAAAAAAATCTCTAATTGATACATCTGTGATAAATTTATTTCCAACTAAATTTTTTATCATAAAAAACCCCAAACTGGTACACCTGTGACAAATTTACCTGCCGTCAATTTCTATTAAATTTTACCGTCAAATTGCTGAGTTTGATTATGCGTGGCAATTGATGGATATACCAGTTTGGGGTTTTACCTCTCCGTTTGTCACGGGTTTAATAGTTTATGATTTTTCATAGTATTAATCTAATTTAATGGAGGGTAAATTTTTTACATAGGGATTTTTGTGGTAAAAAAATTAGTAAAATCTAACGGAAACTAATGGAAAGTAAATTTATCACAGGTATATTAGTTTGAGGTTTTACCCCTCCGTTTGTCACGGGTTTAATAGTTTGTGATTTTTTGTTGTATTAATCCAATTTAATAGATGGTAAATTTGTCACGGATGTACCTGTTTGGAATTTTTCATAGTGTTAACCCTAACCATCTTACAACTCGAGTTAAAAATTTTCAGGCAGAATATACAGTAAAATTAAAGAAAAAAAAGTAGATCAAGGTTTTTAAGCACGGGCAGTAACAAAAGGAGGAGGTCGGGGAGAGGACCAAGCTGGCACAAGTGTGTGTGTGTGTTCCTCATGAGTGGGCCCCTGCTCTTGCAAGACAAGGGAGGCCTAGATTAAGGTTCACCAGATTGTCCACCGAATCATGTATGGACAAATACCTTTAATCCCTACAAATCCCCACTCCCACACGCCCTAGACCAAAATGCCCAAGGGATTGCTAGCTCCGATGTCGTCACCCTACCAAGCCAACTTAATGCCCCCACTCGGGTGACAAGCCCACGTTACCGAGCTCGGCGGCCCTGAGACCTATGTGTAGACTCATATATAGCGTCGGTAGCATGCACATCCTTCCGATGTGGGACTTTTGGCAAATCTAAATAGGTTTCCAGAAATAAGTCAGACCACATGTATCCGCTATTTATTTTGAACACCGCAAGAGCCATCTGACGCTACAGCAAAGCCATGTTTTAGGGAAAACAATTACGGGAGTGGATATTCTTTTCCGGAGAAACGCAGACTGTGGCCAGGCGTGTTGGATACTGGCGGATATGATTGAGATAATCTGATCCCGCCATGGTATTCTTCGATTTCGACACAAGGCATGTCTTTAGTACCATTTTATGATCGGCTGTTTAATCTGTTGAATATAGGTCGGATGTGAGCGAAGACGATTAAGGCATCTAAATCGGGGATCTCTGCATGCATCGTCGTCCATCGTTGTTTCTATTTCAAGCGATGGACCACCTCTTCTTTGGCCACGGTTCTTCTGTTTCTTGTTCATCTTGGGTACTCTTAATTGCACACGAACAAGGAAACTTGACTTTTATCAAAATATGTAGAGAACAAACAACGTTGTTGGTTGTTTTGATGAAGTATTTAGGCGATTCTTATGATGGAATTTCATGTCTTTGTTTGCCGCGAGCAATGGGATTAGCTTAATAAGGTAAGCAAGAGGACATTGAATATATACATGCTACGACATCTAGTCCACGCCCAGTCCTCTCTTTTGAGACTAGCAGTCGTATAATCTCCGAAAGCTGAGTTAAGTCCTTAAAATTATAGAATTTCGCCAATCATGTCCCTCAATTTGCAATTCCAACAAATTGAAGCTGTAGTGATGGTTTACAACGGACGAAAATCTAATGTCAACATAATTAGTGCCATTGCGTCATTGTATCTAGAATTAATGTAGCTGTAACTTAATCGGTGCATATTGATTGTCATTTGCAGTGCTGATTTTTCCAGATATGACTGCACTGCTGATCAAGTGCCTCTGTAATAAATGTCCATCCTCGCAGAGAAACTGCCATTGAAAGTTTTGCAATTGCGCAGTGTGCTTCACTGCATCAGCAAGTCAAAAGGCTGAGCCATGTATTGCTGATCCTGTTTCAACTACAACCAAACGACATAAAAAAACAACTCAAGATAAGACACAAGAGAGAGAATAAAAGAAATACAAGCGAATTGCGGAGGATGAGGAGGCTACAGATCAATGGTTTCTGGGGAAAAAGCTTGGCATAGATCATGGAAGCCCAAGCACATGCCTAGAGGAGTGGATCAAGCCATTCAAAAGACTCTTCAGGCTAATATATGCTGCAACATAATAAGATATGAAAAACAGAGAACGAGAAAGATAGAATCGTAATGGTGAGTCCATCCATGCGATGAAGGATTACTCAAACTCTCTGCTTTGATGATAGTGCCTACTCTATTTCAGTCTTATAAATTATCGGTAGTCAACATTGCAATCACCAACCATACTTTCGAAAATCAATTATTGCGCCAAAGCTAATGAATAAAAGGGTCAGAAATCCTGAATGGAGGAAGTGAAAGTTAAGTCTGCATCAAGGACCTGGTGTTAATAATTTAGGCAAACTCCTTGTCCTGAATGCTTACCCCAGCTTAGCAAGCTCCTGAAGAAGCAAACCATTGCCTGTTCCTATGTCAACTACACTCCAGCCACATATATGTTTATCACCATTTTCGGCGGATTCATTGACATGGTCAGCGTCTGTTGGCAAGTGAACTTGGACAAGTTGAATGCAGAGATTTCTGGTCCAAGGAACTACTGCATCCATAACATCAGCACCAACCTTCAATATACTCAGCTAGTCAGACAAATTAATTTGGAAAAGAAGGAAGTTTTTACGTCATAAAATTCTTCAATTACCTACCTCATCGCTTCTTCGCCACTTAGCGTAATAAAGGAACTGGTGGAGCATTTGCAATTTTAGGATTGGTTATTATACATAAGGGCTTTGACTTAGAATATAAGATTCTAGGAAAACAATGAAGAACTGTCAAAATAGAAAACAGTGGAGTTTCAGGCAATGGTCACCATGAAAACAAATTATGATATAAGGGGAAAAAGATAACGAGCCCAATGACAATTTCCCTCGGTCGTACAAAGAAATAAGCCATCGTCAGATTAAAATTCTGTCTTCAAAGAGATAAGTGGGGTTAATCGATTTTCTCCATCCAAGTTTACAATATGGAGGTTAAGTATGTGTTGGTACAAACATTAAGTAAATGCAAACAATTGTGCTCTTAATATACGCATGAAAAGAAAAGAGAATGTGTTCCGCACATTTAAGTACGAGAAATGCTCAACAAGCTTTACCCTAAAGGCCATGCTGACGAAAGTTCATCAATCCATCTGCATATGCAGCATCCCGAAAGCTTTAAGTATCAGCATCCGGTTCTTCCTTGTGCGAACTGCTAGCACACATCCAATGAAGTTAGCCTTCCGCATTCGAAAATTTCGTCTCTCTCTTTTGCTGAATGGAGTGCAAATTAGTACAAGCAAAAGGGCAAAACTAATTCACAGTAAGGCTATCAGTTAACTCATTGTAATAAAATAGGACAGAGAACAGCGTGAGAACTTTTAGTCACAGTAGAACTATCAGTTCGCTCATCTTCTAACTTTTCAAGAAGCAGTCAAACAATCCTTTCTTCTTCAAGAATCTATATCGGGAACCCTACACTGCCAAGCAACTATTCTTTGGGTGAAGGCCAGTCATTTACCTCGAGCTCAAAACTGCAGAGCAGAGCTGCAGACAAACAATCAACTAAAAGGATATTGGTGGTACCAAGGAAAGAATTAATTGAAACAGATATTAACTAGAGAAGGCACAGCCCTCCAGCCAGTACCCTCTTTCGAACCAAGAGAAGGTACAGCCCTCCAGCCAGTGATTTCCACGCAAAAATTTCATACTCAGTCATCATTACGTTTGTACATTGGCTCTACAAATTTTGTACCTGGCTATTTCTAAGTTGCTGGTGGACCAGACTTTTGCGCTCCCTCGCATGCCCTCACAATCTTCGTATGCACAACACAGAAGGCGACTTCGCAGCTGAATGAACTGTACTGTCATACACAAACTCCACCTCAGCCAACGTGAAATCACACTGCTTCGGTCTCTCCCCACAAATACAGGGGATTAGGTTTCCCGAAATATAATTAACGTCTTTGGCCTGACCGTCTATATGTGGATGAGCTGTGTTGCTGTAATTTAGGGACGAACCAAACAAATACCACAAACTCTTCCAAAAACAGCTGAGAAAGCTGGTATCTTGATTGACAATTAATGGTTTTCCGAGTACCGTGCAATCCCACAACTTCAAAGGAGAACGGCCTCGCAATATGCAACTAACCAAATGTTTTCTTACATGGAAAGAAAGGCGCCATCTTGGAGAAGTAGTCCACCACCAGTAAAGGAGAATCAGAACCACACTGAGTACGCAGTAAACCAAGCGTGAAATCTATAGATAGATTTTTGCAAATATCTTCTGGAACTAGCAAAGGAGTGTACGAACCTATTTCCTGCGTCGCGCCTTTGCTATTTGATAGACATACAATGCTGCACCATTTTGGGACATGATGCCTCAGCTGGGGCTACAAGTACCGCCCCCCGTGAAGTTCGCCAATAACTTTATGAAGAATGGATCGGTTACCATCTGCTCTTACAATCTACATATTGCGAATGGCCAGCAGTACACTTCGCCCTCCTAAGTCCCCAAGTCTAGATCCTTCCCTAAACATCCATTTGTACATTGCTTTATTATATGAATCCGCCTTTCGATCATGCGCATTGATCTTCTGCCCAGCTAAAAAG